CTGAAGACAGCAATGTAGTTTCCAAAGAGTTAGATAATTTACCGGACGACTGAAAAGATTTCGGGTAACAAGCAGGTATTCCAAGAATTATGAAAGTAGCAGTAAACAATACGTTAGAATTTTTAATTAGACTGTAGAAGGTTAAATATGTCAGGGTAAATTCTAGGGTTGGGGTAAAATTTGCGTTAGCACAGTATGTTAACGCGGTTTGTTATTAAGGATCGTCAATTTCGTCCAATCAGAATGTGATAGTTCGAGTAGAATCTCAGACTTTACGATTCGTGTAACATGTGATGTGATTAACCAATTAAAACTAACTTTCCTTATCTGAATAGAAAAATTGATGAAGGCATGCCTTTAAACTAAGCTGTTCTAAGAGCCTAATGCCAAATTTAACAAAGTACGTAACTCCTGGCCGAAGATTATGTTTTTCCGAAGGTGTCACTGCAGGGCCAGGTGTATATGAACGTGGTGAATATCTTTACGCGAGTGTTGTTGGTGTTGTTCAAGAATTAGCACCAACAACTGAAGGAGAGGTATTTGTTTCATAACTATTTACTTGTAAATTCGTAATTAAAAAATTTACTTTTTATAAACAAAATCAGCCACGAATTGTAACTGTAACGAGAGAGAAAGTTCATTCAGCAGTTCCAGATGTCGGTAGTATTGTAAGTTTCTTTAAATTAAACTATCATTTTTACTTGAATAAAAAAAAAAAATCAAAAAATCAAATGTATTAAATTTCAGATAACCGGTAAAGTCATTCGCATGACAACTAAAGAAGCAGTTGTTTCTATAATGGTTGTTGGTACCATGCCATGCAAAGATGATTTTCAGGGTATCATCCGGTAATGTATTAAAATTGTATTTTAGAAAATTTCTTGAATCTCATATGTTTTAAAGTTCGCAGGATGTTCGCGCTACGGAAAAGGACAAAGTCAAAATTTACAATTGTTTTAGGCTTGGAGATATAATTAGGGCTGAAGTCGTATCCTATTGATTTTATAATTTTAAATATTTTTTAAGTTTGATAGGTTTTGATTGCTTTCCTTGATTCGATAATCCAATGATCAAAGATATCTTTAGGTGATGCACGATCCTATTATTTGTCCACTGCAAAAAATGAACTTGGCGTTATTTATGCGCAGAGTGTTGCAGGTTTGATTTTTCTAACTTCTTTATTCTTCAATTTAAATGCGAATTTCGAACATTTAACGTCACGTTGTCGCGTTTCAGGTGCCGTCATGATTCCTATATCTTGGCAGGAAATGCAATGTACCAAAATCAAAGCGATTGAGCCTCGAAAATGTGCGAAACCCGACATTCCCTTACCTGGAAATTGAGAAATGGAAGGTCCACTAGCAAAAGATGACTTTGGGGGCAAACGAATCAAGTTTTATGAACTATGAATTTATATAATAATTAATTGTCTGTTATTTTTGTAAAAAGATAATTTTTCTTTTTTTTTTTTTTATTTTTAAATATATTAATAAAAAGTATACAGCTAAATATAAAATTTCCAAACATTGATTAATTTAATCAAGAAAATTTCCCTTTCTATTAATTTCCGTTATGAATAACCAAATATATTACATTATTCAGTATATTATTTCAGATTTTTTAGAATATGTATGTTACCCGCATACATAATTATAATTGTCAAAATTAGCTATATTCGGATAATTAATTTAATTGTTTTCATTCGTAAAAAAAGGGTCACTTTTAAAAGTAATGTATGAAGGTCGCGCAAGAGAAAGATGGGCTACTTTTATGTCAATATTAATATCTTGAATGAGTGCATCTATTCAGATGACCATAATAAATTTTTATATTTTTTCAGATAAAAAATTTTGAAATAGTATTAATTGCAAACTTACCTATTGAATCATAGTCGCGTTCAGGACGAATATAACCCAGTACAATAACACGCAATTCTACTCCGTAAAAATCTTCAGGGAATACATGCATAATGTGAACTTCCTGAACGCAGTAATGTTCAGTGAACATGTAAATCTAAAATTCCATGCAAATACAAAAAAACATAAAGTAGATCAAGGAATTATCTTTATATACAAACCGCACTTTTTTTTTCATTTTTATAATAAGGATTCCAACCTAAACTCATCACCATTGGATAAACGGATGAATCATCGCCAACCTGTGCCCACCCATAATAAATCCCAGTTTCTACGTCTTCACATAAGGCATTTGTCGCAGCCTCTGGAAGGTTAGCTTTTTATTTAAAATTCAAAAAGAAATGAAAAGTGGTTTTTTTTTAAATAAAATAAAATAAATATAAAAGATAATTTTTTAAATACCTGTTGGAATTCCAAGTTCTTTACTACCCCGACCAAAACCTTGAATTACTTTGCCTTTCATTTTTATTGGATAAGGCGGGCTGATAATATCTGGGCCGACTAATAAAGGACGTGTTGTTTCTAATAATTCTGACATTTAAAAAAAAGGATGGAAATCAACACCGAAATTATGTAGAATGATCGATTTTGAAAACAGAGCAAAGAAATTACAACGATAGGAATGAATTTTATGTAAACCTACTAGCCACCTTCGCCACGTATTGACAAAATTGACATGCATCCGGAAAAATGTGTGTGCCATAGGAATATAATAGGAATATTAGATTCTCCGATATAAGATCGTTATCTTGTGCAATCGTGGAAGATAGCACGTACTGTATATTCTGTATCTGTATACATAGTCTATAATGTTTTTTAAATGCTGTATCCGTATGGAACAGGAGGAACCGTTGATGTTACACAACTGATTTTACACACGGTGTGAAACACATAAAAAAATTATTTTACAATAC